GGGCAGTATTTACACTGGAAAATGTGCAAACGCTTTGGAAAAGATGTTAATAATCACTGGTATGAACTTCACCAAGAACCGGTTGCAGAAATAGAAGACATCACAATTCTATGGGATTATACTATCTTTATAGGCAGAAAGATTGAAGCAAATAAGCCAAAGATGATTGTCAAAAATCTAAAAGTAAAAAAAAAATCCCTACTAATTGGTATGGCTTGCCTAGCAACCAAGGAATTTGAAAAACTAACGAAATATAAAGACTTGGAAATCGAAATAGAAAAAAAAATGTGGAAATTGAAAACAAAAATAGTACCAGTCTTAGAAGGTGCGCTTGGAATGATAAAAAAGGAATACAACAACACATTGGAAAATCACTAGAAATCCAGATTAAGAGAAATACAAAATAGTTGCCATGATAAGTACAGTCCACACACTAAGAACTTTGTCTATGTAACATTAGTAATGTTATGGGAGTTAGAAAAACAAATCATGAAATGTAGCCATAATAACACACCACGATCTGTCTTAGGTCTTCCCGCAGAAATTGAAATATAATAATAATAATAATAATTATTATTATTATTATCATTATTATTATTAAGAGAACAGATATTCAGCAGTGAAGTGGAAAAAAATGGACGTAGTTTAAGTAAAATAATTAAACCTGCCAATCAGAAGTAAGGATTCAACGTTTGGCCAATCTGACGGAAGATTGAGAATCTAAAAGTGCGTTCATGTTGAGCTTATCTACTCCGATATAAGCATAGGAGAATCAGTCTTTAAACAGATAGCGGTATAGCGACAGACGCAATGCAATCACATCGACGAATCAGGAACGACGCATGACACATCGGCGCCGTAAAATCCTACTCATTACTCCCGAACGGAGTATTTGACAATTGATAATTAGATTTATTTGTAAGTACGAGCTTCGCATACTAAAACGAAATACGCTCCCGAAAAGCTTACACGCGTAATTCAGGACCGGTTTTTGCCGTTACAAAAAAAAAAAATGTTTTGAAAGTCTTTTCCGCAAAGCCGGTGATCCGCTTAATAAATAGTTTTTATTGTTTTTTCTCTATAAGTCCATGTTTGTGTTTATTCATGTTTCTATAGTTAGAGAGCACGTGGCCGAGTGGTTAGAACGTTCGCATTCTGAGACCCGGGTTCGAATCTCACCATAGTCGATTTGTCAGGAAGGAGACTTTCTGATGTTATCGGACTGGGGGTTTCGATCCCAGCGCGCGTCACCTTTGGAAAGTAACTGAAAACCATACCACAGGTGAGTGAAATTGGGTATATGGAACCCTTGGAGGCCGTTGATAGCTGTGCTAGCACGAAGTCACAAGTCATCGTGGCCGAGGGCTTGAGCGTGCTGGCCTTGTTCAAATTGTTGATCACGTTAGATAACACGCTCTTTACCAGAAATTGTAACTTAGGTCTGTTCAGCATAGTTGCAATATAAACCACAGGTGGGCTCTGTGGGTGTTGAACAAACACAAATGCACCTGAGTAAGTAGTAAACGAGTGGCTAGCTATACATACTGTTGCGGTGTCCTACCTCTAAAGAGTCTATGTTGGACTCTTCCGCCTACTATAAAATTAGAAGGAGAGAAGGCTTTGGGGGAACAGTCGCTCAGATTATTCAACTGTCAAACTCTCTGCCTCGGCAGAGAGAAACTCAGACGAGGCTTTGCCGCAGGGCAAAGTTTCGTCCGGGGAGGTAGACAGGCCCTGAACCCGTCTAGGCGCGTTCAAAGGGAATATTTTTGGCCGAGCCTACGGGCTCGGAGAAACCCACGTTAAACTCGGCCTTGTGCCACATACATTCCTTGTGGGGGGGACTGTTAAATATAACAGGCGAATAGATTGTTCAACTGTCTGCCTCGGCAGAGTGGAAGGGCAAAGTTTCGTCCGGGGAGGTAGACAGGCCCTTAACCCGTTTAGGCGGGTTCAAAGGGAATATATTTGGCCGAGCCTACGGGCTCGGAGTACCCACAATAAACCAGTCTTGTGCCACATACAGCCTCGTGGTGATGGTGGTGGGGGGCTGTTAAATAGTAACAGTCGAATAGATTGTTCTACAGGGCTGTGTCTGTTCGCAGCTGTTGTCGAACTCACTGCATTTGGTCAGAGAGAAAACCAGACGAGGTTTTACCGAAGGGCAAAGTTTCGTCCGGGGAGGTAGACAGACCCTGAATCTATTTATGCGGGTTCTAAGGGAATATTTTTGGCCGAGCCTACAGGCTCAGAGAACTCACGGTAAACTCGTCTTTGTGGTGGTGGTGATGGGGGGGGGTTGCTAAATATTAACAGTTCCAACTGTTCTGGTCAAACTCTCTGCCTCCGGACAGAGAGGATCCCCAGACGAGGCTATGTCGAAGGGCAGAATCTCGTCTCAAGAAACAGCTACCCGGCCCCGTTTTATACGGGGTCTATGGGGAATTTTTGGCCGAGCCTACGAGCTCGGATTGCCCCACATTAAACTCGGACGTGTGCAACATCCTACCTCGTGGGGAGGCTGGTAAATATAACAGTCGAATAGATGAACGCTGGGTCAACTGACACACACTCACGTCGTGTAATACTCTTCTGTTGTACTTAATGTTTAATATATGATATATCTGCATCACTCGTTTTGTTATTTCTTTAACCATTTACTTTGTCACAACACATACAGGGCTGACGAAACAAATCGTAGCTATTTCAGCTTCAATTGACGGATAGCAGAGAAGCAGGGAGAAAGGAAAAGAAGATTGAAAAACGTATTTTGCAAAATTTTCATTTAAAATTTTTCTGGTTACTTTGAATAGAGTGAAAATGAAGTCTTTGAGATCTGAAAAGAATTTAATGCTTATAACTGATATTTTTTTATATTTATGTTTTTCTAGTCAATACAAGGATTTAAAGTTTCTATTTAGGAATTTTCTTGGTCTCTTTTTTACAGTTACAATATTTTTGGATACTGTTTTGTCTAGAGAAAAAAGCAAAACAAAAACAAAGCGTCAGTAAATTATATGGACGAACGACGCTTCTTATGACGTAAATAAAATTTATTTTCCTTTTCTCATTCCATTCACATATTAGACTCTCTTTAAATATGTTCGAGTCTTACTCGATCTATATCCACTTGCTCCCCCTCTCTCTATCATTTTGTTTATTTAGTTTATATCACTCTCTTTTTGGACTCTTTCTCTCTCTCTCTCACACACATGCATGCACATACGCACATATATATTCTTAACTGAAACCTTTCTTATCTATCTATCTATCTATCTATCTATCTATCTAATTCTTTTCATTATCTATCTATCTATCTATCTATCTAATTCTTTTCATTATCTAACTACTTATCTATGTATCACATGTTTTTCATTATCTATCTATCTATCTGTCTATCTATCTATCTATCTATCTAATTCTTTTCATTATCTATCTATCTATCTATCTATCTAATTATTTTCATTATCTAACTACTTATCTATATATCACATGTTTTTCATTATCTATCTATCTATCTATCTATCTGTCTATCTATCTATCTATCTATCTATCTATCTAATTCTTTTCATTATCTATCTATCTATCTATCTATCTATCTATCTATCTATCTATCTAATTCTTTTCATTATCTATCTATCTATCTATCTATCTATCTATCTATCTATCTATCTAATTCTTTTCATTATCTAACTACTTATCTATGTATCACATGTTTTTCATTATCTATCTATCTATCTATCTATCTATCTAAATAAATAAATAAACCTGCTCAACTCTATATCTATATATCTATATATTTCACTTTGTTTACTTAACATTCTTTCTATGTCTCATTCTGCTAACGTGACTTTTTCTTTATCTGTCTCTCTCGGACATTTTTTTATTTGAAAAGACTGAGTAAAAGTGGTTGAGTAAGTAAAACCAATATTTCACGCCAGACAGGATCTAACCGCTTTGAAGACTGGCGTAACGTAGACCCCATTGGCACACCTTTAGGTTTAAGTGTAACTAAATTAAGCTTAGTTTATAACTATTTTATTTTAACCTCATTTTCTCACGGACTCTTTTTTTTTGCAACCATAACAAATCCAGCCATTGTCATCGTTTTGTCCACCAAACCAAAGTGCCTTTTTGTCTCCATTCTTTGAGAAATTGTTGCATTTGCTTGTTTACGAATAGAACATCAAAGAATCCTGGTACATGAATCTTGTAACAGTGTATTCTTAAAAGTAGAACGAATATATCTTGTAATGCAAGTAAAGTCCTCGGACTTGGTAAAGAAGAATTCATTTAATCATTTAGTACTCATAGCCCAGAAGAAAAATAAATGTCATGAAACTCTCAAAACGGCATCCAAAAGTACTGTGTAGTGGTTAACGAGCTGGCAAACATACCTGGAGACAGATGTAAAACACCTGACGGAAACTACTCTCTTTCAAATTGGTTCTGAAATCGGAGTTGCCTTTTTGGTTGGCCTGTCAAGGCTACAGATCAGAGTCTGTCCTATTATTTATAGCGGTTTGAATTCGAATTTTCCTTATAGATTTACTGGCCTATCAAAGTTTCAGAATTGTCCTAGACTGATTGGTCAACTAAAGCTACAAAACACAATCTGCCTTATTATTTAAGGAAGTTTTAATTCACAATTGTTCTTTTAGACTGTTTGGTTTACTAAAGCTACAGAACAGAGTTTGCCTTTAGGGTAAGAAGGTTTGAAAGAAGACACAATCTGCCTTAGTATGTAAGGGGGTTTTGATTCAGAATTGTCCTAGACTAATTGGTCAACTAAAGCTACAGAACACAGTTTGCCTTATTATTTAAGAAGGCTTGAAAGCAGAATTGTTCTAGACTGTTCGAGAATTATAAACAGCCAATTGCTGATACCCCCTGACTAGTGGAGAGAATGATTACTGGTGGTGGGTCCGTCTACGAATCTCTGGATTCGGGATGCTGAAGGTAACATTAATCGGCTAAGTGACACACTTCAGATTTGTATTAATTCTATCCTATATATAGTGATTTTTTAAGCCCGGCTTAGATGTGGCACAAGGCCGAAAGTATGGGACACCCAGTGAGGATCGAACTCACTATTCAGTCGTAATTGATCTAGCAAGACAAACTTTCTAATCATTACACCACGTCGAGGTGCCCATTCTATCCTATATATAGGTAAAATATACACATCTTACCGCCACCTCCCTTACAACAATTTCACCTTAAGCCTTGTATTGGGTGAACAAAGAAAGAATATATTTTTGTGTATACTAGAATATAACTAAATATTTTTTGTCTTTCTTTCAGACTCGGAATGAAGATTCTGAAGTCCCTCTTCAACCTGTGCTGAAGGAACGAAGGGATCTTGGGTTGCAACTGAAGAAGGAAAAAGATCAGGAGAACAGAGCCGTATTAGACACCACACCAGTTGTTCTGCGAAAGAATTCCTACAACAGTTTTGAAAATACCGCCGGTAGCCGTAAGCCTCTTATTCAAGAGGTCAACTTTGAAGGGACAAAGTCAGAGAAGACCACACCTTTTGAGAATATTCGCCGGTCCCCACGTCATCACGAATTCCTGCGCGGTACAAAAGATTTTCAGTCGTTAGAAGATCTTTCCGATAAAGTCGATTCACCTCCGGTGGTGGGATCTGAGAGTCATAACCAGCGTCAGAAGAATCTTGATTCACGCAAAGAGACGCATCGTGATTCTTTTCCCGGTGTTGAAACCCAGCCGAGGATTTTGCGAGCTGTGTCAAGGATAGACAAACGGATTTTTGAGGACGGGCCCAAAACTAGGATCAGCACCGAAGATGATTGGCTAACGAAGCGACATTCTACAGCTATCTCTGTTTCTCAGAAAGAGTCCAGCTCTCCCGCCGATTCCAACAACGGCCAGAAAACAGAAAAATGGTCTGTGCTTCGGCAACCGCTTGATTCTGGAAATGACAACAGAAACACTTGTGACAAACAAACGTGGCTAAAGAAGAATTTGGACCAGAGACGAACAATTTCCTACACATTTACACCACGTAAGTAATTCCTCTGTTTCATCATCATCATCATCATCATCATCATCATCATCATCCCTTGACTTTTGTAATCTTAGGGCGGATCCCAATGCAGAAGCCACACTAACTCTTTTCCACGATGGTCTGTCAACGGCAGCCATCAGCAATTCTGGTACAGTCATACCTGTCCATTGAACCGACTGTTCGGTTAAACTCTCTTCCTACGGACGGGAGGAACTCGAAGGAGGCTATGCCGAAGGGCGTAGTCTCCTTCGGGGAGGTAAAACCGGCCCTGAACCCGTTTATACGGGTTCAATGGGCATATTTTTGGCCGAGCCCACGGGCTCGGAATGTCCACGTTAAAAAGGCCTTGTGCCACATGACACCCACGGGCTCGGAATGCCCACGTTAAAAAGGCCTTGTGCCACATGACACCCTCGTGGGGGCGGGTGACTGAATATCGTCATACCTGTCCATTGTTTTGTTATTATCCAACCAGTTTTTACGTTGCCATCCTCTCCTAAGTCCACCTTCAACAGTGCCTTGCATGATGATCTTGCAAACAGGTTACCCAAACCACGCCATTTTTGACAGTGTCGAGAAGTGGTTTATGGTGGTCCACAGAACTTTCAACCCTTTTCCGCACAAACTCATTGGTTTTATATTCCCAATAGAAGATACCAAGGAGTCTTCTCATGTATTTGTTCTCAAACGCTTGGAATCCTTCTCTCCCTGTTTCTGCCAAAAGTGTTCACGTTTCACATCCATATAGGAGAATGGGTGCTACCAGCGATTTGTACACGTTTCACGGCGTCAAAAATACTGCTTTAATTAGAAACTCATTTTTACATTAAGAAAAAAAAAGCTCCTAAAATTTTCGTAAATTTACCCTTTGTCCTCGAAGTCGAATATTTAACCACTGATGCAAATTGTCAGCAAAAAGTTTGAACCCAAAATGCAAATTACAAATCAGAGAGACCCAAATCAAACAAGTACAAAAATTTAAATATAGGGAAAGTGTTTTAAAAGAGGACGGAAAATGCGACAATGAAATCCGAAGGCGATTTGGGTTAGCCAAAGATGCCTTCGAAAAGCTAAGCAGTGTATTAAGAGAGAAAAACTTCGTTAGATAAAACAAAAAACAAAAAAAGACTACTGAACTGTTGCATAGTATTAGTCCTCCTGTATGGCAGTGAATGCTGGTCAATCTCCTCAAAGATAAAAAAAGAGTTTGAAGCAACAGAAATGTGGTTCTTTCGAAGAATGCTGAGGATACTATGAACCAAACATGCGGGTAAAGACGAAATCTTAGAGATAATGGGAACAAAGAAGGCCACTTATAATTAACATCAGAAAGAGTCAGTTGAATTTACTGGGGCACATAATGAGGAAAGAAGGCTTGGAAAATTTGGTACTCACAGGACAGATTAAAGGCAATGTACTTAGCTTGTGTAAATGGTTGGCGGAACAAGGTTTAGGAGAGATAACAGAAAGATAAAATTTATTAAGAACTACGGAGGACAGGAAATTGTGGAGAGCCATGATCGCTTATGCCTTGAAGCAAGGTCGATTTACTGCTTTTAAACTACAAATTTCCTATGATTTCCCTCGAACGGTAAATTCAGGCCGGTAAATGCTGTTAATACTATTTGTTAAAAACAGAGCATTTACTTAAATAATTGTGCCTATAAAAATAACGTATAACGATAAATATATTAAAATAATTGTCGGACTTAGTCCATTTCATTATATATGATGTCATTTGTTAAGATGCGCTTCGAATAGATATGAACCTTCGAGGAAAATCATGGGTAATTTGTACTTTAAAAGCAGTAAAACCAACCTTGCTAACCAGACGCTTCCTTCATAGCTAAACTCGTAGAACACTTCAGGCTATATGACGGTTCCGTGTAGGATACAGGTTCGATTCCTGTCGGAGAACGCATATTTTCCATAAAATTTCCCGGCCATTCAAGCCGGCAAATGTTGTTAATACTGTCTATTATAAACAGAGAATTTACTTAAATATTTGCGTCTAATAAGGTATAACAAAATATATTAAAGTAATTGTCGAACTTAGTCCATTTCATTATATATATATATATATATATATATATATATATATGAAAATTTCTCCGATTTAACCAATATTTATGAATAAGAATGACAATAGGAAAACTAGTAATTGCTGACGCGTTTCGTCCAATGTGGACTTTGTCAAAGCAAAATTCATTGGACGAAACGCGTCAGCAATTACTAGTTTTCCTATTGTCATTTTTATTCATTATATAGTTTCATTAAAGACGACTGATAAGGTATTGCGATTAAGGTATTTGATTTTTACCGGCATATATTTCTTATGAGTACTAGTTTTATAATGGTACTATATCTGTCGTCTTCCTTTAGTTTCCGTCTTGCATTTGGCATAGTGGTTTCTTAACCATTATAATGAAAAGAAACCCGAACATAATATATTTAAGCCTGCCAACTAGTAGTTGCCCTCAAAAGAATTAAACCAGAATTTAAATATGTGACTAATATAGGTAAATTTGTCAAAGAAATTATACCTGAAAATTGTTGGAGAATAAACCAGCTAAAATTTTGTAAACTTATTCATTTTTTCTTCTCATTTTTTTATTTAGCTGCTAAAGAATTGGACACAAAAGAATCGCAAGAGGCTCCTTGGATCAAGGAATTCCGGAATAGTCGTAAAAGAGTTAGTCTCGTTTTCAGTAACCGTGATCAAGTCAAGCCAGTATTGGATAAACCGCCGTCAGTCGAGACAACTTCTGTGCGAATTTCCAAGCCTCTGTCATCGCTAGCGGGTGAGCAGTCTAGCCGGGCGTTCGTAAGCGGCAAAGTTGCTGTGCACACAACTTCGTCTTCGGCAGTAGAAAAGAAAGAGACGTCGACCATATTGCCGGAAGGGACAGCTTCTCCGAAATACAAAGTTGAAAGGAAGTCATCTTTCAACAATACAAACGAAAGTGGTGTTTCATCAAGAATGAAAGAAAACCGGTAAGATAATTGCTAAGCGCTTTACGTTCACGACCTTTAAGAAACTTGATTTATATCAATGAATTTATATATTTCCAAAGCAGAAAACTAGCCTTTGTGTAAATCGTTGGTTTGTTTAATCCTTGGAACCAGTAGGGCCCTGTATTTAGATAAAACACACTGGTCATTCACTGTACCATTCCATTAAGCCTGTGGAGTACCTCAGTTTTAAAGTTCGTAAAATAAAGTCATAATTGCTCCATAACTACGTCTGCAGCCAGTGCATTGATGACCAGTCATCGCTGGCCGGAGAAGAGTTGGGGTCAATGACCATGGCGGAGGGTTCTCCCGTTGGAATCAACAGCCACGTACAGGCGGTGATATATATATATATATATATATATATATATATATATATATATATATATATATATATATATATATATCCCACACATATATATATGTATATATTTATGTATACACACACACACACACACACATATATATATATATATATATATATATATATATATATATATATATATATAAATATATGTATCTGTCTATATTTCCTAGATGAGGTGTTATGTACATAATTTACATTATTCGGACTATTGTCCTCATCTTTGTCGCCATATATGTAATAAATATGGCGACAAAGATGAGACAATAGTCCGAATAATGTAAATAATGTATGTATGTATGTTTGCGCATGTGTGTGATTCTGCATAAAATTATACATACATATATATGTGCGGTACAAATAAAATACGACAGGAAAGTCCTCCATATATATATATATATATATATATATATATATATATACCCAACATATATGTGTATGTATAATTTTATGCATACACACACACACACACACACACACACACATATATATATATATATATATATATGGTGGACTCTTCCGTCGCATTCGACGTATGAGGGACAATCAGCTCAGTTACTAGAAACCGGCATCCAGTCACCAGCACATATGATTTGATTATAGTGGTGAAGGCTTTGTGCAGAACCAGCCACACTTTTTGAAGGGACGAATACAGAGAGCTTGTGCCAAAACGACCCTCCGCAGATTTTGAATTCCGAGTGGTCCTTCTCCTAGACCAGTTGACATTCAAGGCTAGAGAACCCAGTCTGTCTTGCTATTTACCCATTGCTGGAGGGAGAAGAAGAGCATTAATCCCTTTTCCCAAGGGTATTAGTACACACACACACACACACACACACACACACACATATATATATATATATATATATATATATATACATTTATTATAAGAGATTATAATAAAAACGTTGAAATCTCTTCACAAAAGTTTTCATATTTCAATTCTATGATTGAACTTCTTCAGTCAATGTTAAGTAACTGGTGATTAAATGATTTTTAAGCAAATTTAAAAACAAATTGTTACCTCTTTCGCGAAAGTTAAAGGAAGTGGAGGCAGAAGGTCAAAATTAAAAATAAACTTGTGGTATGTCTTAATTAACCAATTAAATGTCAGATCTTAGCTAAATAAAAAAGTAAGATCAGATGGTGGAGGTGGTGAGTTATTTTTTCATGTCACGATAAACTGGGACAGTGACAAATGCCAGAATATATTCCGCAATCGTCAATGTTGACATGTCTATTTTCCGGTTTATCATGACATGAAAAAATAACTCACTTACCTCCACCCTCTTGACATAGGGTGACCTTACTCAAGGCAATGTAGGCCTCCGTGTTGAGTGTTAGTCTCTGTAGGAAGATGAATGGAGGCATAACGTCGCCATCACGAGTGATCACTGTAAACAGCATGATGTTGACTGGATATAGCATCCAACTCTTTCCGAATTCTCTACACTTCCCTCAGATTGACACCCAAACACTCTGAAATGTTCGTATTGGAACTTACGGTGCGAATTCCAAGCAGTACAGCATGCCGTTTCCAAATTTACACTGTCGGAGTTTTCCCACAGACGATGCCAAACTAAACCTACTATATTGTGCAGTCGACAAAATCGAAAGCAAACAACACGCATGCGTGAAATTAAAAATATAAAATAGCGCCACCGTGTTTATATATATATGGTGGGGGGGGCAATTGAATAACAAAAAGGTAAAATGGGAAAAACGCGGTTTTTCCTTCAAAAGGATTTCATCAGACTAAAATGTTCTTATTGATATCTATCTAGCTATCTACGTATATATATATATATATATATATATATATATATATATATATGAAGAAATATAGTCTTAAGGTGTGCTATATTTATGGGATAAAGTGCTCAGTATCAGAGATAGAGCGAGTGTAAATATAAAAGTGAACATTGAAGTCAACACTTAGAGGCGACAGTCTGCTTCATGCTGGACGCAATCGTCAGGCCACCATGAAACATCATGAAACTGACTGTCGCCTCTAAGGTCAATGTTCACTTATATATATATATATATATATATATATATATATATATATATATATATATATATACGGTGGTTGGGCTGTATAAATTGTTGTCTAAATTACGTAAAAATGAAAATAACAATGACAACTCAATTGAACTTTTATTTCAACCAAAATGACACAAAAAGACAAAATTTATTCAATAAAATCTCTATTGGCTTCAACCACGATCTCCAGACGACTTCGGAAACTGCAACTCTTCTCCTTGTTTAAGTAGAGAAATGCTGTCAGAAATATAGACAGATACTGAAAGACCGAAACTTTGTAATAAATATAGCGACAAAGATGAGGACAATAGTCCGAATAATGTAAATAGTGTACATAATACCTCATCTCAGAAATATAGACAGATACAGAAAGGCCGAAACGTTGTAATAAATATGGCAACAAAGATGAGGACAATAGTCCGAATAATGTAAATAGTGTACATAATTCATCATCTCATAAATATAGACAGATACTGAAAGGTCGAAACGTTGTAATAAATATGGCAACAAAGGTGAGGACAATAGTCTGAATAATGTAAATAGTGTATATAATACCTCATCTCAGAAATATAGACAGATACAAAAGTGCTCCAGTTTTAAAACCACGTGCCAGACAAATAAAGAATTAATAAGTGTTTGCGTAGAGAAATATACAGGTTGTCCCCCTCACAAATTGACATCATTTTGCAGTCTAATACTGTAGTCTCAAATGATCTCAAATTTTAAGAAAATGTGTAAAAAATTGAGTTGGTTATGCGGACTTATCGCAATGAAAAATATTCATCAGTCGCGTATGTACATTATTTATATTATTTGGACTACTGTCCTCATCTTTGTTGCCATATTTATCACAACGTTTCGGCCGATATACGCTCCGGTCTTCTTCAGGTGGTTAGACATTTCAAGGCTGGAGACTTCATCAGTGATGATGACAATGTGCTTTTGTAATGGCCACCACGTTCAGCTGATATGAAACCTTGTGATTTTTTCTATGGGACTACGTGAAAGGACAGGAATACTTCTTTCTTCAAGCCTAAAGAAACCTAAGCAGAGAATCCCTGAGCACTGAAGAATGCTACGCAAGACATACTACAGCGTGTTTGGTAGGAGCTGGGCTACCGACTTGGTGTGTGTCGTGTCACAGGTGTGGTTCGCATATTGAACATTTTTGAAGCTTTATGAAATCGTTTATAAAATCTGTATCTCTTTGAATATCATTTGCGAATTTTGACAAATAAATCTTTTATTGTTCAACATGAAGCCTATTTAATTTCGTTTGCCTAGGACATGGAGTTACACAGATATTCACATTTTAAATGATGACGTTTTTTTTTGTTTTTTTTTGTGGGGGGTGGGGGACACGCTGTACATTGTAATTCACTTTTATGTCTCATATTTAGAAGATTTCTCTTAATGGAATTCCGTTAACAAATATTCGTGAGTTCCCAAAGATGGCTTGCATATTACCAACACCCAAATAATTGAAATCAGGAATTCTGAATTCTTTATTTCTAAGATATGTAAAATTAAATGCGAATTTGTACAGTGAATTAGGGATATTATCTATTACGTATTACAAAGAAAATAAGGAATGACAATGAAAATGTAAACAAAAAGAACACTTCTATGGCTGAAATTCCTTGGATAAATAATTAGAAAAAAGGCTTGGAAAACGGTATATTCAGGACCAAATTGATTGCTTGATTTGTTTTTTTACGGTCTAGCAACCATTTGCAGGTTATTTAAAGCCACAAAATCTTTTTAGATTGTATGAGTTTTTGATAGATAATAATAATTTACTGCTAGAAGGCAACTAATTGATTGATTCGTTCTTTCCGGCTTAGCAACATTTTTACAGGTTATTTAAAGCCAGAAATTAATTTGGGAGTTCAAATTGAGTGCAATACCAAAATCGAGCTAACCTAACGCGGTACATTGAAAAAGAAGATTATGTGGCTCGTTACGTTTATGTCAAGTTTTTGTTTATTTTATTTTATTTTATTTTATTTTTATCGTTTTAGGTCACCGGTTTCAAGAAACAACATAAACACAGGTGAGTTTAAGCGTTATATAATTTTACAAAAAAGTGCTTAATAATGACATATGCAGTATTTAATGACATATAATGTCATATATTATAATGACATATATATTATAATAATATTGATATAGCCTACAGTGCAACAGGTTTTGATTTACAGTTGTCTTTCTCTTAGACTGGTTGCAAGCCAAGGCTAGAAAGTCAAGTCTATTCTGATTATAGTTGTAGATGGTGAGGAAATATAGGTTCGTATCTTTCTCACAAAGAATTTCTGTGAAAGTAAACGGAAGGGACTCAGCCAAAATTTAAACTCAGTTTGCCGAGTCAACTTTTTGCTCTGATAACCGCTACACCTACAGCTTTAGTTAATCTTCCGTTAATAATTTAGACCACTGTAACACAATAAGTAGCGTTATTGAAACACCCCATGTAAAATATTATAGATATGTAATTGTGTATTTCTTAAATATCTTTTTTTTCTCTTTTTTTTTACGATAAAAAGAAAAACAAAACAGAAATTTTATTTTGGAAAAACCGAATTAAGAGATCAATATTAAATAAAGTGAACTTTTCAGTTTCAATAATTTAAATATTCAAAAATAGGTTTCATTTTATATTTCTCTATATCTCTGAGTATTATTTACATAATTCGGACAGTTATCTTCATCTTCATTGCCATATTCACAACGTTTCGGCCGTTGTACACTCTGGCCTTCTTCAGGTAATTGGAATTTCGAACGGAACCCTCTATTTCGTCCACCACGGTAAATTGTTCTAGTTCCACGTGCTATACCTCTTCCCGATGCCTCATTTATTTCCCTTTAACTCAACTCTACGAGTTTGAACAGTGGCCTGGTATTGAACTCACAACTCTTTCTGTCTATTCATTCGATCTAACCAACGTCATTATCCACTGGGCCATGTGTACTTGAAATTCTAATCACTCGAAGAAGGCCGGAGCGTACAACGGTCGAAACGTTGTGAATATGGCGATGATGATGCAGACAACAGTCCTAATAATCTAAATAACACTAGGTTTCATTTAATTGTCACCATAATCTTTTAAAACAATTTATGATCAACCTGACTCCTCTTTAAATGTTTTTTTCTTCACATTCCAAGCATGTAACTATCTCAGCGAGTCCCCACAGCTTTTCACAGCATATTAGCTGTTTCAAGCGCTGTCACTTGTCAGGCATTGTTAAAGTGCCCTGCAAGGCAGATGATCTTTGGTTATAGTCCCGAGTGCGTCAAGCACAAACAGGGAAAACTTAAGGGGTTGTTTCGTATATTTCTCTGATTTGCACCGTTCCTTAGTATTTTTATTATTAATATTATTATTATTATTATTATATTCTTGGATTTACGTTGCATACAGATTGCCTTGCGGATCCCAACCAGAGACCTAAGGTCAGAAATGGCTTCATGACATTTTCCCCTGATAATTTTTGTAAAAAAAAACAAAAAACGAACAAACCCCCCTAAGATCACAGACATTTTATATAGATAAACTTCTTCGTAATTTGTGGGTTGTAATTGTGAATATATGTTTTTTTTCTTTAAAGCATGAGCAACCAGGAATTCCTTCAATAAGTCTACCGGAACCTCTTCCAATCGATCCAAAGGTTCCAACCACATCTGGTATTATTGATGTCTACTTCTTTTAGATTTCCACTTCAAGATCCTAGTATTTTGATAATTTTTTGAAGATCTTCAAAGATACATTACAATCTGCAGGCTCTGCTATGTCAGTAAGAGAGCACATTTTGTTATTGTTTGGGCGATTAGCTTTGATTGTTATGTCTGTGTATATTGTAAAAGTCCCATAAAATTATCACAGGTCTTATCGAAGTCTAGGCGATGCTCATAGAAGTTTCTTGCTGTTTCCTTCCCGTAAAAGGGGCAGATTTTCCAGTGCAGATATTGGCTTACTCTACCATGCTGAGTTTTATATTCAGTGGTTGCTAACATTGTGTAACCTGATACAAGAGGGTCAATTGTTTCTGGATATTTATCACAGAATCTGCATTCAGATTAACATAATTTTTCAGTAGGTGTGCTTGGTATTATTATTATTGTTTTGCAGCTGAGCCTTATCTTCCGAGTTGGTCTGTTGCTGACGCTGGTGAAGCACCCGCTTCACTTACTGATACCCGAAGTGACATACCCGATTGGCAAAGAAAATTAGCCGAGAAAAACAAACTTAGAAAACAGTCATTCCGGAGGGTAAGTAGATGAGATTTTATTTTTGTTATACTGCTTGTTTACAAAAAATTTCGGTCGATCCATTCTTCGGTCTTCTTCTTAGTCGGTCAAATGCGTAATTTAAACCAAATGTGTATTTAAACGTGCCATGGATTTGGTTGCTCATCGTGGATGCGGCAATAGATGTTTTCTTGAACAAAGAAAGGGACTGAGAAAACACTTGCTCCATGAAATGTTCAATGACCAAGCCTCGAAAATGGACCCAGTCCAGATTTTCACAACTGGAATCCACCATGCCACGACCCAGAGTCGACATCCTCATTCTCTACGTATTGCATTAGTAAGGAAGAGCTTCTAGTCAGCTTCTTCCGTGGAACTGTTACTTTGACATCCGAAAAGATATTTCCTTGATCATTACAATCTTAACGTCTTCAAATATAAGGTCAAATGTTATCTATTCTACATATCTTCATAACATGAACCTGTTACCACCTGCTTGTACTCGCGTACAACAACCTCATTGAATGACACTCTACCTTGAGTGGCTCTTGCATTAGACGGACCATAATATTTAAAAAAATGCGAATAAGTTGTACTGAACGAGTAATTGAAAACAGAGTAACTTATTATAGAAGTGTTAACTTTCGATTTTCCATTTTCTACTGATTTTTTTTTTGTTTTTTTTTTGCACTGCCGGTAAAAGAGACTGACTTTCTAAATAGATAGAATGCCTGAAGAAGGGCAGAAAATGGATCGACCGAAACGTTTTAAGAACGACATAAATAAATAATGAATTCTATTTTCTGAAAATTCCTTTCAATGACATTTTAGCGGAATTATTGAAAAATATTAAGTTTTATTTGTTTGATAAAAATATGTACTTTAAAATACGGGAATAAATTCATTTATAGTTGCAATAATAATCTAGTCAAGAATGAGGGAATTTTGATCTGAACCACTTATTTAATTTTAGAGGTTAGATTGTCCACGTTCCACTATCCATGTCTAGGGATGGATTTTTTTCGCATTGTTTATTTATTTTTTATAGTACTGCACAGTTATTGATTCTCCTGTTTGCTGTACACAACTTGTTAATTGAACACATAGTTACTATACCATTAAATTCCTTCATTCATTCAAAATCCTCGGCCCGAGTATTGCGAATTTCAACTTAGTGGATACAGGAAGAGCAGTAACTGAGCAGTACTATATAAGAACAAGACGAAGAATCCCTTGACGTGTACTGTAGGGCAGGCTGATTGTTCACGTTTTTAGTGCACTCGATGTGAGAGCTGGTGTTTGATGAGATAAGTATTGACATCAAAAATCAGATTCATAGCTTTTACTAATTTTTCAGCATATAAATAAAGTATTAGATATATTGAAAGGAAAATATATTGAAACAAGAATTCTAATTATGAATAACCACACGGTGGAGTAATAGATATCGGCTGAGACTGAGAAATCGGAGAGCCGAGTTCGATTTCCAGTCGAATTCATTACATTCACTTACGTGCTAATACCCTTAGGAAAGGTATGAATCCTCTTCTCCCCCTCCACACAGCTATGGGTAAATAGCAGTACAGACCAGGTTCTAAAGCCTTGAATGGCAACTGGTCTACTGCAGAAAGAAATGGGAAAAAATCTGCCTCGAAAGTTACATGATCGCCTAAGCATGTATCACGTATAGGATATGACTGATAAACAAAATACGCACTTTTATTGTATTCGATGAATACAAACGGTGTAAAAGTTGTGAGATTACAAAAAAGGCTACTCAATGAATAAGATTTGTAACATCATACCCCCCCCAATGATTATAGTGTATGTAACATAATAAAAATGATGGGTACACATTATAAGACAAAATGTTTTAAATATGCATTGTTTATTAAATATCGTATTAAAACTAATACATAGTATAATATATTACATCATAATATATCTAAATATTATAATATATTACATCATAATATATTTTAAGAGTTTTTTTATGTTTATACGTTCATTTTATAGATACACATATTTAAGTAAATGCTCTGTTTTATAATAAACAGTATTAACAACATTTACTGACCTGAATGTCCGAGAAATTTTCATAGAAAATATTCGTTCTTTCTATGAAAATTTCACGGACATTCAGGTCAATAAATGTTGTTAATACTGTTTATTATAAAACAGAGCATTTACTTAAATATTTGTATCTATAAAAAGAATGTATAAACATAAAAATGTCTTATAATAATTAACGGACTTTGTCCATTTCGTAATCATAATTTATTTAAATATTATAATATATTGCATCATAATATATTTAAATTGTTTAGTATGATTTCCCTTTGAAACAAATGAAGATTGTATATGATGGCACAATAATTTAGTAATGTGTTTGTGCCCTGCTTCTTGTCCATATACAATTTGTAAATCTTCAGAAAATTTTATGAGGCTCTGAGCCTAGTTTAAAATTCAAAATAGTAGCATTGGAATTTTATTCCGGTGATGAATGAAATCTTTATAAATTCCAACCTTCAAATTGGTTTCCTCAGAAAATGGTAAGGATTCTGAAAAAAATATGTTGTGTCATTATTTACGATGTCAGACACTAATTTTCAAACTGAGTGCAATACCATAGTTCCAAAATCTATCTGCCCTAATGTACAGCAGGACGAGAATTATTTAACAGCGTAGATAAAACAGAAGCTTCAGTTCGAAATTCCCTGAAGATTATCCTTCAGTTCGAAATTCCCTGAAGATTATCCTTCAGCTCGAAATTCTCTGAAGATTATCCTGAACGAGAGGTACCTGAAAAAGAACAGAGAGCATAGCAACCGAAATGGTGTGATAAAAACAACAAAGATGAGGATAAATGATAGACCCCACCCCCACCCTTATCCCGGAAGTTCAGACATGATTTATAAATTATGTCGGAGGAGGAGGAGAGATTTGTTTTTCGTTCGTTATTTCTGATTTGTGTTCTTTTCCAGCTGCTACTTCAGCCATCTTTTCATTCAACCCCGATCCCCTACATAATTTCGTGACGCCATTTTCTTCTGCTCTCTTTCTTCCACCGACTGAATTTCCTCTTTGCAGACGAAAAGTGAAGGTTCTGAATTATACGGACAAGATTATGAAATAGATCCTCTCGAAGTGAAATCTGTGTTATACCCAGAAAACGAGAAAGTTGCCATAATGTATTCTCAAAATAATAACTCCTATGCAAATTCCGGCACTTATCCACAATCTTCAGCGTCAGTGCCAAATGTAAATTACTATGACGGTCAATGGTATGCATCTCAAGGTCAAAGTGGTTATTATGATGGCTATGACACTAACTATTATTATAATTACAATCAACAGTTTGCAGGATCTGCGGACATGTCTTATTCAATGTCTTATATGCCTGCTGCAGAATACGGACAATATTATAACCAGAATCAAAATCCACCCTTGACTAAAGCCTACTCTTACGACTCCATAAACCAATATGAAAAACCGGTGACCCCAAAACACAGTCCAAAGCTTGGCGATTTGTCCCTCTCGCCGCAGAGTAAAAGTTTTTCCGATTCACGATCAGCATCTCCCAAGTCTCCGAGATTCGTCCGAGTTTTGCCCCCAACGGCATCAAACGAACCATCGCCATCCTCCTCTCCCAGGAAAAGCGAACGTTCCGAAAAATCTTCTTCGTCATCATCATCTTCTGCTTCTTCTGCTCCTGTTTCTCCGATTTCTTCTGCTCCCCCTTCTCCCCAGCCTTCTCTATCGCCGCGCGAATCTCCCGATCGGCAGAAATCTTCCTCGAAAGGATTACCATCTTTCTCTCTAAGCAACGTCGAAAGCCACTCTGGCAGCAATCGGAGACACTTCTCCAATAAGCCGATGTACGTCCGTGTGCTTCCACCTCCTGTTCTGCCCAACAAGCTGAGCCCTGAGAAGCTGCGGGAATACACAGACCTGTCGCCTGAAAATAGTCCCAGCCGAATCCCAGTTCCTGTCAATCAATCAGGAAAACATTCCAACAATGAGTTGACGTCAAAATCTTTTAAAAACCGTCTATTTGGGAGGAGACACGAGGAGTCTGGATCCAATGCGTCCAGCATTGTTTCAGATGAGGTAGACAAGAAGACAAAATCTAAGTACAAATTCAAAATACCTGTAAGTCCTAAATTTACTCCGTTTGGTAAAAAGCAAAAAAGTATTAAGCAAAATCAATCCGACGAGGAAAATGGTTCGAATTTGCCTGTTTCCCCGCAACAGAGAAGCGATGAGGTCGTCGAGACTAAATCCGAGAAGGTAATTTCAAGTGATATCGAAAGGGGACCGTACTATCGGATACTGAGGAGTCCGCTTAAAACGAAATCAATGCCTGGTCGATCTTATTCGATGACATTCCCGACTGAAGAAATAAATGAACACAAGTCGAAGCTTCGCCCAGTTCCATCTTTGGAGTCAGCAATTACTGAAGACCCACCCTCTACCGACAAAACAAATATTTTGAGACGAGGACGAAGGGTAGGCACATTGCACTGTGTAGAAACGTAGATTTTATGTCCTGCTTTACTTGTTTCCTTTAAACTACCTCCACGATTATATATATATATATATATATATATATATATATATATATATATATATATATATATACATACACACACACACATATATATATATATATATATATATTGCACATTGAGAGCTGGTGTTAATAAAACAGTGCGGTCGGTGTAACGGTAACGGTCAGTTTCAATTCAGCAACTGAAGATAGCTATGTGCATAAAACTTGCATGATTCGTGTTACCGGTGAGAAATTTATATATATATATATATATATATATATATATATATATATATATATATATATATATATATAATTTAATTTAATTTAATGAAAACAGACAACTTTAAGAGTCCATGGTTATAATTTATTTCCCCAGCGAGTTTCTTTTTTTTCCCTTTCATCAGACCTCACTTCTATGGATGAAAAAAATGAATTTAAATTTACAATCATTTATTTACACTTTGAAGGGGTATTTTATAATATATATATATATATATATATATATATATATATATATATATATATATGTGTGTGTGTGTGTGTGTGTGTGTGTGCGTGTGCAAATATATAGAAAAATACGAAAGAACCGTTAACCAAAGAATCCAAAGGTATTTAGCATTTTGTTTTTATTTTAAAAAACAGTGCTCAATACATGAGTAGAGGCTTAATTATAATTATAATAAAAAATATGATTCCATCGCTACATAAGAGTTCTCATGTTTCAAAAATAGAATCTAAAAAAACCTGCTGTATTTGATCTTCAAGCGAATTTTGGAATAACTAATCTGAAGAATAGTTATTCAAAAATTCGCTTGAAGATGAAATAGAGCTGGTTTTTTAGATTACATTTTTGAAACATGAGAACTCTTATGTAGCGATGGAATAATATTTCTAAAAAAATAATTATGATATATATATATATATAATGCATTACTTTAATACCTATCCTTGGGCGGTGTGAAAGAATCCAGATGATATAGTTTGTAAATAAAAATTTATTTGAACAAACCGATATCAGGTAAAAAAAAAATCTGTATAAAGAGAAAATACTAAAGGCACCCGGGTCGGTCAAAAATAATCAAAAATGTTTAGTCAAAAAAACAAAAAAAACAAAAACAAAACACCGACAGAGTAAATTAAGTAAAAAAACGTAAATAGTGAAAAATCTAAAAAAACGTATTAAGCCAGAACCTATTTGCCAATGTTTCACGAAACGAATCTTCAAGGTATTACTGTCAGTAATACACTGAAGATCCGTTAGGTGAAACATTAGCAGGTGGGTTCTGGCTTACTCACTTATATATATATATATATATATATATATATATATATATATATACAAAAGTGAACATAGAAGTCAACACTTAGAGGCGAGAGTCTCTTTCATGCTAGACGCAATCGTCAGGCCACGACGATTGCGTCTAGCATGAAACAGACTGTCGCCTCTAAGTGTTGACTTCTATGTTCACTTTTATATTTACACATGCTATATATATATACATACACACATTATTGATATTGAGCACTTTATCCCATAAATATAGCACACCTTAAGACTATATTTCTTCATATATATATATATATATATATATATATATATATATATATATATATATATATATATATATATACTGAAGGCAAAAATTTTGGGGCCACCCTGCCTTTCTTTAAGAAAAGGCCTTAATTTTTTAAAGTAAAACATAAAATTTGAGTAATTACAGTGTATTTGCTTTAATTTTCCGTCTTTATCCGGACTCCTTTTACTACAAAATTCGTCTGCCCACAATACATTTTACTAAATTATGAATATTTTACATTACATTATATTTTGTTTCATCATTAACGCCTCAGTAAGGTGTTTTGAGATTAGTAAAAGGACGGGGGATTTGATTCAGATCAAAGGAATCATGAAAAAAGAATAATATCATTGGATTTTTCAAAGGTATGCTACACCATTTGGTTTACACATGAGGTGGGGGGAGGGGAATTCACATTAAACAAAACAACGATCCATAACACTCTACTAACTTATATAAAAATTAACATGAAAATTTTAGCAATTCTAACTTGACAGCCTGAATATCCTAACCTTTATTCCATTGCATCAGTATTTGACGAAGAGAATACTCAAAGCGTAAGAGTAAGCTTTTTCAGAGATTAAAAAATGCCTGGAAAGGTCTGCAATATACTTAAAAAAAAAAAAAACTGTTGGAAAGAATGCAAATAAACTGTAATGCAATAATTTTAGACACGTGATGGTTTTATTGACGAAAATAAAATATTTATAGTCAACTGCTTACTTTTTACAAATACACTGTAGTTACAGAAATTTTAATGTTTACTTAAAAAATACAAGGAAATATTTAATTTTAAGCTGTTTTAAACATGTAGAATGTCTCCCCTCTTTTTGTTTTTAGTGCATATATATATATATATATATATATATATATATATATATATGTAAAAGACAATAGGAAAACTGTAACAGACGCGTTTCGTCCAATATGGACTTTTTCAAGGCAAAAACGAAATGAATTTATTAAACAAAGTAACTAATAATAATAAAAAAACAAAATGTCCTTAGCAACTGGAAGAATTTACAGTACGCTATTTTCATACTCTTAACTGAAAATTACTTTCACATTTTTGTTTACCCATTGTCTTTTGCATTTATAAATATTGTCTTTTTCTACAGGTTAACTCTGAGAAATTTTTCATATATATATATGTGTGTGTGTGTATGTGCGTGTGTGTGTGTGTATTGTGTATTGAGGTGGCAAGCATTCTTTCATGACAAATTATATGCAACACTCACTAAGAGGAAAAACTAAAATTCTCAGTCATTATTGTCAAAAATAAATAACCCCCATTAAGTAAAATATATTTCAGGAAACGACATTTTAAAGTGTGTATCAAATATTCACTACTGGTAAAGAATAATAGTAATAATAAAAATAATATATATGCATATTTGCTACATGCTTTTATCAAGTCTTGTCGAGTTTCATTTAAAAATTACACTTAATTTGAATCCCAGCGTTCCGATAAATGTATAAATAAAATACCGTGATGTATCCAGCAAAATCTTGTCTACCACTCTGACAAAACCTAGTTCTTAATGACTAAGACTATCAAAAGTATTTGAACAATAGCAAAATAAAATAGGAAATTCGGGCAGTTTTTGTATATATATATATATATATATATATATATATATATATATATATATATATATATATATATTTGGGCGTGATATATATAGGGTGATATATATATATATATATATATATGCATATATATATATATATATATATATATATATATATATACATGGGGTGATATATATATATTTATGATATATATATATATATATATATATATATATATATATATATATATATATATATATATATATATATATATATATATATATATATATATATATATATATATGGGGGGTCAACACTAGTTTGTTGTTTTCATTCATTTGTTGTTTTCTATAAATTTATCGAAAAAAAAAATTGCTTCTGCTAAATACACCAATTTTTGAATGGTTATCTTTGCTGGTTTATTCAGTATAACCCTCCTCCTCAAATCTCTTAGGCCCCTTACCGCCTATATGTAGAGCCTGCACAAAGTGCACTATCTCGCAGTCTGTCTCTCTCTTTGTAATTGGTTTACATTCGGACCCCAAAATGAAGGTAGCTTATATGAGTCCCCAAAATTCTTTACAGGGTATACGTTTCCCTTCATAAGGTTAACTGAACCAAATTTGGCCCTTTTTGTCCTTCTTAACTGAATGCACGCGGGGCAATACTGGATTTTTCTTGTATTAAGAAGCGCAGGTTTGAATCATGCCGAAGAGCATTTTATTGAAAACTTTGAAAAATCCAAAAGTGGTAAATATCAATTATTTTGCTAAAAAACACATAGATGTCTACGCAAACATGTAAATTCACATAATGTCTTTCTCTATAAACTGAAAAATCATTGCATACAAAATTCTTCGAATTGGAACATTTTAACACGAAAATATTTTTCCTACTAAAAAAATAAAAGGCTCTATCACTTTTCTGTTGTATGGATTTATCTTTTACAGTAAAAGTTACCAATTGTAACCATATCCTGGAAGACTATAATTTCTCTTATTACTAACGTCTGCACAAGAAAAATACTTTTATATATTGGAAAAAAAATAATTTAGATATTTTTAAAAAAAAATAATAATTGTGATATATTTAATAATAGTAATGGAGTGGGTAGTCGTCTCTTTAGTAAAAAACATTTGGTAGTCAATGACCAAACTGTCTTTTGAAATTTATAAAACCTTTTTCTAAAACAGATTTTCAGCAAAGTAGGTTTAAAGTTCACAAACAGTTATCACTCTATTACTGAAGAGGGCTTCTTTCCAAATATTTTACTTGAAGTAGTGTGGAACTTCTACATCTTGATGATGTTATTATTTTCCCTTCAAGTGTCATGTACTACCCATTTCAGCTGTTGCGGCTGTTGGAAGTTTTCAATTGATGTATATATTTTATTTTGTAAATCTCTATTTGTGAGAGTGTAGCGTCAGTTCACAGGGTTTGATAAAGAGCTACTTTTTTAAGATTCATAGAATTTATTCAGTTTAGGCCATTTTATTCTTTTGATCTAAGAAAAAAGTTTTATATCGCTGGTAGTACAAATACATACAAATACATACATACATATACATATACATATATATATATATATATATATATATATATATATATTATATATATATATATATATTCTAAATATATTGGAAAAAAATATTTTTTCCCCACATAAAATCAGTTTCAGGTTATTTCACTGGAAACTAAGCAGGGACAAATTAAATTTTTTTTTTAAAAAATAATAATTGCGATATATTTAATAATAGTATTCTATATAAATTCTATAAATTCTAAATATATATATATATATATATATATATATATATATTTATATATATCAGCGATATAAAACTTTTCTTAGATCAAAGAATAAAATGGCCTAAAATGAATAAATTCTATGAATCTTAAAATATATATATATATATATATATATATATATATATATATATATATATATATTTGTTGTGTGTTTGTGTGTTTGTGTGTGTGTGATTAATGTTTTAAAAATTTGGGTTTATGTAGATTGGTTAGCTCTATCTCTGATATGTATGTATGCATATAATATATAAAAATTATACATATATATATATATTTATTTAAAATACCTTAACACATATATATATATATATATATATATATATATATATATATTATATGTATGTATGTATGTATGTATTACAGTGTCGTCTGTAGTCTATTTCAAGCCGTTCTTTTTCAATGTAAGTCTGTGTCTCCATTTTTTCAATGTCAGTCCCCTCTGGTAGACGCCTTGTTAATGAGAATGGGTTTGCGTTAGCGATTGGTGGGGCGTAAGATATCTTATCCCGGGTGAAGCGGTCTGGGGTTGGAGTTTATTTATGGCCAGAACCTTTGTTGTTTGTAGTTTTATATCAGTTCCTACTATATCAGTTCCTACTGTGAGGCGTTTCTTATACAGGCCTCGAATGTGTTTTTCTGGGATTCACAGTAAATAGTTTTTTTTTTTTTTTACTACAGGTGTCCAATATTATTAATAAACAATGGGGGATTTAAACTTAAACCCATTAAGATAAATGTAAATTAATTAAGTTATAAAAAATACATATGCTATGTTAAAATAAAAACATTGAGCTCTCTATGGACCAGTTTTAATGAATAATATTACTACGATCCACCCGGATTATATACCAACGGATTGATTAACTGTACTATATATATATATATATATATATATATATATATATATATATATATATTGTTAAATATAACAGACAATGAATGTCTACTATGTTTGATCATGAGCCGTTGTAAACTCCGTATATAGTCATTTAATTTCAGATGAAAATAATAACAAAAATTGTCCAAAATTTGCATATTTTTATTATGCTGTTACTTGATCTAAGTTTATGGCTCACATGAGCCACCTTCAGAGTAATTATGCAGACATTTGAAAAAAGTTATTCACCATCAAAGATGATATTCTGTTATACACCATCAAAGATGATATTCTATGTTATTATAGAAGATTGCTATGCGACGATAACGGTTGCGGAATAGCAGACGCAGATCTTAAATTTGTGATGCATCGTACCAGGTGAAGGACCAAAATATTAACAGCAGAAGCGTATGTCTAGATGCAATGTAATATATTGTGACTACTTTGAAATGTAATTTTGTTGAGTGTGGGTTCCTTCATTTTAATCTAGATGGCCTCCAATATGTGAAGGTTCTTTTTTACTGTGTGTATGTGTGTGAGTTATTGCGTTATCCACTAATTTCTGTCTAATATTATGTACATGGCTATGTTTTTCTAAGAAATATTGTTTAATAGAACTAAGATCAGAAAGGTGACAGGAAGTCTACGGGAGAGCGTGGTTGTAGTATAATCTATCTATCTATCTATCTATCTATCTATGTATATCACCTATAAATATCTATCTATCTATCTATCTATCTATCTATATATATATATATATATATATATATAAGTTAGTACAGTGTGATGTATGTATATATTTATGCATACATAGTGTACTGAACAGTCCTCGTAAATGACAGTGAACGCTGCAGGCATTCACAAATGAAGAAGAAACTTGAAGCAACAGAAATGTAGTCCTACAGAAGGATGCTGAGAATACTACAGGCCGAACGTGTGAGCAACGACGAAGTTTGAGAGAAAACAGAAACAAAAAAAGACACGTATACTTTAAAATGAAATTTCTATGGAACATAATGCGGAAAGAAGGTTTGGCAAATTTGATACTCACAGAACAGATTTAATGCAAGCGAAAGAGAGGAAAACAACTTATTGTATACCTGGCGAACTTGAATAAATGAATAAAGGAGTAATGTTTAGGAGAGATAAAAAGACAAAATTTATTAGGTTACAAAGTTCAGGAAATTGTGGAGAACCATGATCGCATACGTTTTTAAGGTACACGCTACATAGAAGAAGAATGCTAAGGTTAGCCGGTTCCATGATGGAAACATTCGATATTCATTGACCAAACAGTTGAAATTTATGAAATCTTTGGCTTAAAATAGTATTTCAAATCCATTGTTATTATTCTGTCTCATGCCGTCGGGAGTTTCCTTGCAAAAGTTATGTTATTTTTAGGCAGTTATTGTAAACAGAAATACGAATTTAATAATAGAATTGTAGATATTTCTTAATTAAGGATTTCATTTGTTCCATATTTGTAAAAGCGGTCACGCGGTGTAAGTGTTGTGATGTTTCCATTAAGCAGACGTTCCAGCTACAATCAAAGATAAACAGTTCGACTTTAGTTAGGGTAATAAATAATTCAGAAGTTTCCGGAGAGGACTCATTAATGCGGGAAAGAATATTTTTGTGGGTTTTTCTCTTTGAGATAACAGCAGGGAAAAGATTGTACGAATACAGCATCAGTGAGCTCTGATATTGAGCGCTTTTTAATAAGTACAGCGCATATAATATATAAATAATATATATATATATATATATATATATATATATATATATTTATATACACACATTTTCACACACACACACACACACACACGCACACATACACATATATATATGTATTTATGTATTTAGGCAGCAATCCTTCTTTCATGCACATTTCATTGAATACGACAGACAAGGTGCATTTAGACCTTTGAACATGGACACCATATATTGACCGTGTTTTGAAAAATGAAAATATTTTATAAAACATACATACAACAAACTATTTCTTATTTAACAGTTAAAATATTTAATCTATCAAAATGGCTAAATGTATAGCCGAAAGCGCTCGGATAAAAGAATATTCGGAAAGTTTTTACATAATTTATCATCCGAAAAAAAAAAAAATTAGTTCGCATGAGAAATTGTATTAAAACTAAATAAAAACACCTTGTCTGTCTTATTCAATGATATATATATATATATATATATATATATATATATATATATATATATATATATATATATATATATATAATTTATTTGAAAATTATAACATAAAAATGTTATAAAATCACTACAAAAATCGCCATTTTGTTACAACACTTCTGGTCTCATATCAGGGGATGGTGTTAATGTAGAATTCCACATTCAACAGAGAGAGAGAGAGAGAGAGACAGAGACAGAGACAGAGACAGAGACAGACAGAGAGAGATATGCTCAGACAACACATAAATAGATATGCGCAGATAACGCGCGCACACACATAAAGAGAGATGTGCTTAGACAACACATAGATAGATAGATAGATAGATAGATATGCACAGAAAACACGCACACACACACATATATATATATATAGAGAGAGAGACAGCACATAGAAAAATACATAGATATGCACATACAACGCATGCACACACACGCACATAGAGAGAGATATGCTTAGACAACACATAGGTAGATAGATAGATATGCACAGACAACACACACACACACATATATATATACATATATATAGATAGAGAGATAGAGATGCTCAAACAACACAGATAGCTAGATGAACAGGCTAAGATTGATAGTTTATATTCTGTTATCTTCAATTTCTTCATTAATGAACAGCTCATCCTAATGATAGGTTTTGATTGTTTTGTAACATTTGCTCAACTGTTAATAGCCTTTTTGTCTACACTTTACTGAGGGTTAGGCTATTAATTAACATCGTTAATAATGAATCACTGATTGATATTATTGATGTAACGATCTGTGAAAATGTCATGTTGACGGATCAAGATTAAATACACATTCTCTTGCTAGATTTCGCAAGACACGTGACCGATACTTTCTACAGGGTTTAACGCCATTAAAACAGTGGATAAATCATTTTGAACCTCACTGCAATCACTAATATTTATCAATTAAATGCCTTGGGGTTAATTTTGGTGGAGTTGATGAATTAGTTGCTTTGTAACTGAAGAATTTTCAGTCTTTTGTTTTTTTTTAAGCATTTCACACTAAGCAAGGCGAGATTGCCACTATCACGCAAAGGGTTACAGAGAGTGAGATCAAGAGTAAAGAGGGGGGTGTTTGGGGAAAGGATATAGAGAAGGACGGGGATCAATATCAAGGCATCAGAAGATGTCGATTGACATTACATTTGAATACTGGAAGATTATAGCTATCAGGGAAGCAAGTAAGAGGAAGGGAGTTCCACTGTCGGGAAGTGCGAGAGAAGAAGCTGTTGGCGTAGAAGAGGCGGTTACATTTAACTGTTTCGACGGTGAAAGGGTGGGACCGAGATGCCAACCTAGTAGCACGCTTAAATTCATGCAATTTGGGAAGCAGTGAAAATCGCTCGTCAGAGCAATTGTCATGAAAATATTTGTAGAAAAGACAGAGAATCCACAGTACGTCCTGTGAGAAAGTGACTGTAGACGAGATGCCAGGTTAGGACCTATCACATTGCATATCCGTCTCTGGATATTGTAGAGGACCTCGAGATGAACAGCGGGGGGGGCACCAGACCATATATGGCAACAGTATTCAATGCAAGGATGAATGTTAGATTTGTAGATTTGAAGGAATGGATTTAGGTGAAAAAAAAAACCTGGCACGACAAAGAGGACCAACTTTCGATATATTTTTAGATAATTATCTTAATCCTGGATGTGCCTCACAGATGATATCTTTGTATATTTACTGCAATTTTGGACTTTCGTCCACGCAAAAAAGGGAGTGTCAAAAGTAATGTTTTTCCCTTGATACCGCTATTATTTTAACTACCTTCACTCCTCGGCAATGAATATTTTTATAAAGCGATGAGTAGAATTTTAATAAAAGCTAAACCTAAGGAAGTGAAATTATACATTTCTTTTGCTCTTGAGAATTCACAACAAAAATAATAAACACTATTGTCTATCACATTCTGTTCAGATCTATCTATCTATCTATCTATCTATCTATCTATCTATCTCATTCATATCTTAATAATTCTATCTATCTATCTATCTATCTATCTATCTATCTATCTATATCTTAATCTATCTATCTATCTATCTATCTATCTATCTATCTATCTATCTATCTATCTCATTCACATCATTAACTAGATATTTATCTATGTTTCTGTGTGTGTGCGTGCGTGCATATATATTTATGTACACATTCCAGTCTGCAGATGCAGGCAGATACACACTCGCGTACACGCACACACCCGCCTACGAACACAGACACAGGTGTGAGTTGTAGTAATGGTGTTACGAGAGATAGATAGATAGATAGATAGATAGAGAGAGAGAGAGAGAGAGAGAGAGAGAGAGAGAGAGAGGGAGGAATATAGAGGGAGATAGAAGGTGGGGAAAGAGTGTAGGAAAACAGGGATAGAAAATAATGCGAGGGAAAGAAAAAGAGTGAGAGAAAGAGAAAAAAAAAGAGGGAGAGAGACAAAAGGAAAGAGAAATGATCTGCCATGTAGCCAGAATATTTGCATATTTTCTGAGCCCAGATTGCAAATGTTGTTTTTTTTCTCGGCACGCTAGCCGTCCCCAATTAGTTAATCATTGTAACAGCGACTTCCAACAGGCTTGATTTCTTACTCCACTTATCCCTGTGCCAGACTAATTTAAAATGCAATGCTTTTGTCTTAAAAACAGTCTTTTTGCTTGTTTTCTTAATATACGCAATGGAATAAAAAAAATCATTCATGATCAAGGTTGTTCGTTGCAGTTTTGAATAGATTTTCGTTTATATTTTAAATGATTTGATCCAGTGAAGAATGAAGGGTGTTTCTGTTCCCTGTTTGATTTTTGCAGAAATTGTAATCCTGACATTGGATTTGTTTTTTTTTTTTTTTCAGATTGAAGATAGCAGTTCCACAAAGGCAAATATAGAAGATGGAAGTCCAAAGAGTCAACCTGCTTGGAGACAGAAGCTTAAAAACAGAACCCAAAGTATCTATCTATCTATCTATCTATCTATCTATCTATCTATCTCATTAGGTTTATAATCTATCTATCTATCTATCTATCTATCTATCTATCTATCTATCTATCTATCTATCTCAGTCTGTTTATATCTATTCTTATATGACTCACATTCATATCTATCTATCTATCTATCTATCTATCTATCTATCTATCTATCTATCACAGTCTGTTTATATCTATCTATCTATCTATCTATCTATCTATCTATCTATCTATCTATCTATCTCATTAGGTTTATAATCTATCTATCTATCTATCTATCTATCTATCTATCTATCTATTATTTGTGCCGTTATTTAAATTTGATTTTATCTATCTCATTTTATTTATTACATATCTATCTATTTATCTCATTTATTACATTATCTATCTATCTATCTATCTATCTATCTATCTATCTATCTATCTATCTATCTATCTATCTATCTATCTCATTTTGTTTATAAATTATCTATCTATCTATCTATCTATCTATCTATCTATCTATCTATCTATTATTTGTACCATTATTTAAATTTGATTTTATCAAATCTGTTATCAGTAGCAGTACGTAATGGAAGATTTCGGTTTCGTTAAAGACACTGGGACAAGGAATATGATATTTATGCTCAGAATGATAACTGAAAGAGCAATACAGATGAAAAAAAGATGCATAAATCCCTTAAACTAATCTTTAAAATAAATGCCTGGCACTGCTGTTATACATTTGGTTGTAGTAAGAATGGTAAGTATGAATGTGTTGCTTTGGTGTAAGGTATACTGTGGTATGTTTGGGTCAGTGGCTACCTAAATTTAAATTTAATTTCGCTATCACTTGTCTTAAAATATTTTTGCCCTTCCTTGCCTTTAAAGGAGTGTCCTTTGTCGTGCTGATGTTGCTACATGCCTTACTTCTTGCCTATCTCGTACTGCGAATTTTTTAAGCTCTATACTAAACATTAAATCTGTTACGATAGAAGAACTAAACAAAATGAACACAAAACAATCAGTTTTAAAAAAGGATTCGTAATTGGAAAAACCGAATGAAAAAAGAATGTTAACAACAAATATTTTTTCATACCCAACCCAGTTCTGCGGAATCAGAATCAACGTTGAGTTTAAGCAAGCGAATGAGCCAATTGGAGTAAAGTGCCATGTAGATTTAAATTTTTCCCAATTGTGACGAATGCAGCTATCGATTTTTTTTGCATGCTAGCATACTAGTTAACATTCGTGTCAGTCAGCTGTTGGCTCTCACGCTGGCCAATAGAATCTTCCTGCCTATTCGTGGCAGCCAGCTATAGGTTCTCACTCTGGCCAGTAGAAAATGGCCGCAAACTGCATGAAAACTGCCGTAGAAGCATGAAAAAATCGATTATTCCCACTATTGATGGGAATTGGGAAATGCAAAGTCGGTCTTGGCCTTCTCGCTAACTTGGAGCATGTGCATGTAAATTTTGGTGCAAATCCGTCGAAAATTGCGGCCGTGCATTCGTTACACACACACACACGCACACGCACACGCACACACACACACACACACATCCTGCCTTTTATAGATAGAGATCCTCTTACCAATCTTTGATTCTCCCCCATGCCTAAACATTTCGTATTATCCAAATATGGAAACAGTACTCCATTTTCGGCCATATCTGCCTTTTATAAATGTAGAGGATAGGATGAGGAATCAGGTACTTCCTGGAGCGGTACAGGGAGCCGATCATTTTGGCAGCATCTTTAGCGATGGATCGTATATAAGAATTCCACTTGAGGGTCGAGTGTAAGTGTCTCATTTAATAATCTGCCATTTCTCCTGGTATTTTGTTTTTAGTTAGGAATTTGCTTTTTTGTTAATTGTGTTAGCTGTTATCCTGTTATTTCGTCTGTAAACTAAAGAACCGTTTTTTTTAAAAATAATATAACATTAAATTCATGTTTCTTTCTTCAAACATCCAGACCAAGGAAGGCTTCTGGACGGAACGGTCTGAGGTAAAGACAATTTGTTATAGGACATTTGATATCAATGGCCCTCGTTCGAGTTTCATAGTTTTCTGGTCCGCTCTCGTCAAAAGATGTCCGGCCCCATATATAAGGTATGCATCTTTATAGAGAGTGAGTTTTCGAGGTGTTAAGATTAACAAGTCATTCCTTATCCCAGTTAACAAAAGATTGCAGGTCATTTTTGAGATCACCTGTCAATTTGATTTTATCGAACATACAGTGGGGGAAATAAGTATTTCATCCCCTGCTGATCTTCTGAATTTTACAAAAATAGGAACGGTCTATAATTTTCAGGGTAGGTCCGTTTTGAAAGTGAGAGATAGAATATAAAAAATAGTCTAGAAAATCACATTATATTAATTTTTGAACATTTATTGCTTTTTTATTGAAAAAATAAATATTTCACCCCCTACCAACCAGTAATGATTCAGGCCCCACAGACTGGTTATGTGGCCAGGAGGCATATTGACTAATCCTATTACTCAGTTATCACTCCTAATCAAGTAGTCATTACCTGTATAAAAGACACTAGTTCACAGAATCCTTCAATGAATCAGAATCTAATCTCTCCACAATGGTCAAGACGAAAGAATTGTCTAAGGAAATCTGGGACAAAATTGTATACCTGTACAAGATTGCCAAGCAGCTAGGTGAGAAGGAGTCAACTGTTGGTGCGATAATAAGAAAATGAAAGAAATACCAATTGACTATCAATCTCCCTTGGTCTGGAGGGCCATGCAATATCTCCCAATGTGAAGTGAACCTGATGATGAGAAAGGTGCAGAAACAACCCAGAACTATGCGGCAAAAGCTTGTTGATGATCTCAAGGCAGCTGGGACCACACTCACCAAGATGACCATTAGTAACACACTACGTCGTAGTGGACTGAAATCATGTAGTTCACACAAGATCCTCATACTCAAGAAGGCACATGTACAGACCCGTCAGAAGTTTGCAAATGAGCGCCTGGATGATTCAGAGGAGGGTTGGGAGAAATGAGACTAAAATTGGGTTTTTTGGCATCAACTTGACTCGCCATGTTTGGAGGGAAAAAAACTGACCCCAAGAACACCATCCCAACCATTAAGCATGGTGGTGGAAACATTATGCTTTGAGATTGTTTCTCAGCTGAGGGGACAGGATGACAACACGGATGGATGGATCCAAGTACAGGAAAATCTTGAGTGAAAACCTCCTTGCCTGAGCCAAGACATGGGTCGTGTATGGGTGTTTCAGCATTACAAGGACCCAAAGCGTACAGCTAAGGCAACAAAGGAGTGGCTCAAGAAGAATTATATTAAGGTAAGGGATTGGCCTAGTCTCCGGACCTGAATCCTTTAGGGAATCTGTGAAGGGAGCTGAAGCTTCAAGTTGCCTGACAACCTACAAACCTTAAGGATTTGGAGAGTATCTGCAGAGAGAAGTGGACCAAAATCCCTCCTGGGATCTGTAAAAACTTGGTAACCAACTACAGCAGACGTCTGGCTGCTGTGCTAGCCAACAAGGGTTTCTTCACCAAATAGTGAGTTATGTTTTGCTATTACTTATTTTTCTTTTTAATAAAAAAGAAATAAATGTTCAAAAATTAATATAAGAATTTTTTATATTCTATCTCTCACTTTTAAGACGGGCCTACCCTGAAAGTTTTAAACCGTTCCTATTTTTGTAAGGTAGCAAACTCAGAAAATCAGCAGGGGATGAGATACTTATCCCCCCCCACACACACACTGTATCAGACTATTAAGGCAGGAGTAAATAGCAGCGACATCATCATTGATACAAAGTCGGAGACCGGAAGGTCGTTGATGAAAAAAAAACAACAAAAAAAAAAAAACTGGGTTGTCTCCAAGAATAGAGCCCTGGGACACTCACACGCACACATTAATGCAAATGAATCTTACATTTCTTTACGCAGGCATGGTGGAACAAGCGGAAAAGAAAGCCCCTGAAAAGCCTGACTGGATTAAACAGGCAGAAGAAAGAAGCGCACGTTTGGCAAGTACGTATTTTTCTTTTTTTGATTGGGGAAAATTATGAAACAATTTTCCGTTTATCTCCATTAAAATGAGCCAAGGGAGATGACTCTTAATTTCAAAATATTTAGAAAACATTATGGCCGTTCCGATATAATCTTATTTGGTTCAATCTAAAGTAGCAAGGGTGGGCGTGAATTGCGTGGGCGTGAATTGGGTCGTGGCGTTTGTATATATAGCATAATCAATTTCTTTTAACATCTGTCTGTATTTCTAAGATGAGGTATTTTAACTATTGACATTATTTAAATCGTTCAGACTGTTGTCCTCATTTTTACTGCCATATTCACGACGTTTCGGTCATTGTACGCTCCGTCATTCTTCAGGTGATATACGCCGGAATTTGAAACCGAAACTTTTATATATTTCACATGTCATCCCTTTTTTTGGATATCTCAGTGTCATTTAATTTTCTTTAGTAACTGAGCTCTTCAAGTTGTGTTCCCTCTTTTTTCGTCAGAATTCACAACTCTTTGGGTCAACTCACCTTTTAGATTATTTCTAGGGACACATGTCATACGGACACACGGCCTAGTGGATGAATGCGTTGGTTGAGTAATCCAAAAAATGACTTAACACCGCCCCCCAGCAAAAAAGAAGGTATGACATGTGGAATTAGAAGAATCTAAACCCGTGAACTAAATAAAAGGTTTGGTTCGAAATTCTAACGAATATTTCCTGAAGAAGTAACGGGCGAAACGTCGTGAATATTACAGTAAAGATGAAGAGAACAGTCTGAACGATGTAAATGATAAAAATAATATCATTTAGTATATTTTTCTTTTTATTTAAGTTTTTATCACTTTTGTTATTAAGATCTGGGATGAAAGGGAAACGCTGCAAAGCCTAAACGCAAATATCTGGTATATAATATATATATATATATATATATATCCTTTTCCCATAACAGTACTATCTATACTAGACACCTCCACACATTCGCGATAGCTAAGGTTTAATAATAATTTTTAAAATCAAAAATCTTTCTTTGAGTTTTTTATTTTAGTTTCTGTTCGAACCTAATAGATGAAATCTAATATTTCCAATAAGCAAAATACTTTGCTATATTTCAAACCGAATTTAAATTGACTGGAAAGAGTTTTGTTCTTGAAATTGTTGGATTTGGCGTCATTTTAGCCACATTTAATGTAATTCCCTTTATTAGAAAATCTTCCAAAAATAAAATATACTTTTCTGAAGTTTTATTTGAGAAATTTTAGATGATTTAATGTTTAATTACTCTGATTTGAAATAAATATTACTTACTTTATGTTTATAATATCGCAGAAATGCATTTTTTTTTACCACAGCCTGTTTATTTAATGTGTTGACATGTTAACAGCTTGAATGACAAATGGAAGTTTATTTAATTTTTTTCTACAGTGGATATATCTGTAAAATAATTGAAGACTATAACGTGAGCGCCTTTTTTATACAATTTTTTAAGTAATAAGTAATCTAAAAAATTAAGGAAAATATTCTCCGTAATCTAATGTTTTATTGAATTTTAGTTAGCGTGGCTTTAAATTTATCACAATTATCGCTCTTATTTTCTGATAATGACGTGTATAAAACTACGTATCTACAATAATTGGTACAAAAAATAAAAATTCAAAATTCTTTTTAAAATACTAAATTGTAATAAGCTTTTCAATTTATTATTAGTAAATATAGTTTTTATTTAATAACAATATAACCATTACAAATTAATACAACATTTTAAAACTTTAATAAAAAATGAAAACAATTCTTGGAAAATTTTGTTTCTGAAGACAATAGTGTCCTTAATATATCTTATTCATGAAACCAATTGGAAGTTTTTCTAAATGTTTTAGTTTTATTGCATTTTTTACTTTACGATTCAGAGCAGATTTTTGGTAACTGGCGGTACTGTTTTGCGAAAAGAAATTGATGATTTAAATTCTCCAAGAACTTCTGTTTTGAACTAATATGAACATTTAGCTTTACAAATTTAATTTCACGAACTTTCACAAAATGAGTAACAGATGTGAAAAAAAAAATACAAGATTTCTTGAAAAAACATTTCTAAAATAATTTAATTCATTTTGGAATAAGTCCTGAAAGTTTCATTAAAATCCGACAATTATTATAATTTCCAATTGGATGTATTTTTCATCGTAAAAAATAGGCTAAAATTTGAAATGATAATTTATAGTTCCCCCGCAAGAAAAACAAGATTTTTAACCAAAATTTCGAACGTTCTAAAAAGAATTAAAAAAAAAAAAAAAATTAAATAATCAGAAAATATTTTGGTCTATCCTCTGAAAAATAACATAAAAAAATTGACGATAAAACTTTGTTTTTATCAAGTTTAATCCATTCTTTGATCATGATATGATATTTTTTAGTAACTAGTGGAGGTACCTAATCTAAAACGTATCATAAAGAATAGATTTCTCGGTCACTGGATCCTAAGTATTTCTAGTTTTCAATTACAGTGCTTCCTCGATTAACTAGACATCATAGGACAGGAGTTAAATCATACTTTCGTATAATTAAAAATTCTGGTTAATTGAATACATAAGTAATTTTTGAAAGAAATTTAACTTTTTTTTAAATTAAATAACAAATTTCAAACGCATTGTTGAATGTTTTGTTCTGCTTATTTTTTATGAAAATTCCTCAACATTTGTGTTTCCATTTGGCCCTGCGTTCTTCTGTCGTTAACTTCTGAATCTGAATTAAAGATTATTTTTAAGTGTAGCCTAATCTCTGGTATTGCCAAGCTCTGAAAATTCAAATAGATTTATTTTGCCGTCCTGGGTATAACAATAATCTACATCCGACAGCAAGGCCCTTCATCAGATGGTTTTGGGGAGCGTAAAACCACCTCTTAATTGCTGGTGTTCCCAGGTCCACCCTGACCCGGAGTGGTAGCACCTTTTAGGGTCCCAGCTGTGGGTAAATTGTTAACCCCCAAACTGGGGTCAAAACACTATGAAAGTGAAAAAATAGGTTTTAATACCAGAAATACATTTTTGTAAAAAAATTATTACCAGCAATACATTTTTGAAGAAAAAAATTATTATCAGTAATACATTTTTGGAAAAAAAAATATTACCGGAAAAACTTAAAAAATATATTTCCAGCAATAAAAATCTTGTCGATATTAAATTACCCATTGATATGCCGTAAAACAAACCAAACCAAGATATTCTTTGTATGAAAAAGAGAGAAAAAAGAAGAAATTAACAAGACATAATCGAACTTGTTTTATTAGCGTTGAAAATGTTTTTCTCAATTCTCAAAGAGCTTGTCTCAGACGAAATGACAAAATGAGTTTAGTTCATATGATTTCCATTTTTCTCTTCATCTCACGTCCGGATAATGAACGTTAGGAAAATCAAGGTACCAATAATTAGGAACGTATTGTAGTACTGTTTTAGTATTAAGTGTTTTGTACTATTTCTTTGTTTTTTATTTATTTTTCAGAGACCAAGTTGCTGGGAGACTAACCCTGTTCAGAAAAATAAAGAAGGCACTTTATTCATATGGACATTAGCATCCTGACCCTGAAAGGAAAAAAAAAAAAAAAAAAGAAAGAATATTAACAAAAGAAAGCCATTCACAATGGAAGCAAATTGCCTTATTTATATTGGGGTGGGGCTGGGGGTTGCGGGTGGGGGGGTGTTAAAAACTAAATAAAAAAAGACAAAATAAAAAGAAAAGAAGAATGAATAAAAAAAAGAAAGAAAAAAAGAAATTAAATTATACCTGAAAATAAATTCATTTATGCAACTTTTATTGAACAAATAAAAACTAAACTCAGAATACATTTTTCGATCAAGTGACTCTTCCTTCACAAGCCTGAAATTTAAGAGATTATTTTCTTCTTTTTTTTTGTTTTGTTTGGCGGTGGGCTGGGTGGGGGATCTGGGTGTTGTTAAGTGACCCAAAAAAAAAAATGTTAACAAATGTCTTATATCAATAAAGATAAAAGGAAAACTTATCATAGCCGAGGCGTTCCGTCATCTACAGGACTTTATCAAGAGAATGCATAGTTAAAAAAAAACAAAACAAAAACAAAACAAAACGTGTTTATATAACAGAGCAAAAATCTTCTTGGTTTTTCAACATTTTTAAGTATACGAACGCTCATAAATATTCATCCGAAACTTAAAAAAATCGAAAAACCAAAATTATTTTTGCTCTTGTTTATAAATATTTGTTGCAAAATAAAATCCATGCATTTGCCTTGATAAAGTATCTCAGACGACGAAACGCGTCAGCTAAGATAAGTTTGCCTTTTGACTTTATTTATATTGTCTTTTTGTACATATACTCTATCTGAAAATTTTACACGCACACACACACATACATGCATACATATATACATAGATATGTATATACATATATATATATATATGTGTGTGTATGTACGCAAAAATAATGTAGATTCCATGATGAAACAGAAAAAAGAAGCATGAAAAAGTATATATATGTATATATATACACGTGTATATATATATATATATATATATATATATATATACGTATGCATGTGTATATATATATATATATATATATATATGTGTGTGTGTGTGTGTATGTGTATGTATTTGTAACTTATAAATATGGAGTAAGTCCAAATGGAATGATTAAATAAGAAAGTGATCGGAAAATCTTTATAAATTTGACATATTTAACAACTTTTTAGCGTCATCAGAAATTTTGGGAACTGCATAAATATTTTGGATTTCTCAAGATTTCTGACGAAATGATATTTATAGTGAAACATGTGAAATTTATAAAATTATATATATATATATATATATATATATGAATGTATGTCTATGCAAGTGTGCGTGTCTGTGTTTGTGCCTATTGGTTGGATGTATATCTTTGTGTCTCTCTGTGTGCATTTACATATATGTACACACTCATGATTTGGTGTATATCGATACAGGTTTATACATGTGTGTAGATATGTGTGTGTCGGGGGCTTATTTGGTTGCTTGTATGCATGCGTTTCTTTGTTCGTACGTATATGCATGCCCGTATGTGTGTACTAGGTATCAGTGTGTGCGTGCCTGTGTATATAGAGCTGTGTGTGTGTGTGTGTGTGTGTGTGTGTGTGTGTGTGTGTGTGTGTGTGTGTCCTTTTGCTTGCGTATGCAAATAATACCAGAAGAAAAAAAAATCCTGGGGGAAGAAGAAAGAAATGAAGAAAAAAACAAACAAACAAAAAACAAACTAAAAACAAACGACAGACAAACAAACAAACAAACAAACAAAAAGCAAACAAATAAATAAACAACAACAGCAACAACCAACTCCCACACCAAATCTGCATTTTTATCGTTTCGTGTCTGACTAATATTATCCCAACCAGTGACACGCACTTGGCGTAATGTCTTTTACTGTTTCAGTTGACCAAGAAAGAATACCTACGTTGACTTCACCCACCCACGATCCTGTATACTTTGTGATAAATAATCCCTTCTCTAATCTCTTTTGTTTGTTGATTTTTTTATTCCGTCTTTGTTTATTTATTAAACTTTCTCACTGCGGAATCTCTGTGAACCAAATTTTATTTATACAGTGGAACAAGAAGAGACTACGCGCGTAGATTAAATAAAGGGTTCATTTACTCAGATCCGTATACACCTGATGAAGTCCGGAATGTACAATGATCGAAACGTTGCGATACCAACAATAACAAAAAAAAAAAAAAATTGATGACGGTACTCGGAAACTCTCCATCCCAGAAATTCAGGCAGAAATTTTGTCGAATCAGGAATTTCTCAAACTGGGATCACTTGACCCCCGGACTAGAATTTCAAGACAGACATTTTAGCCAATTTCAGTTATATATTCTTTTAATTTCAATTTTTTTTACGCTTATAGGCTACCCTGTTTAGTATTGGGCAACACCCACAATAAGGTTTGCAGGCGTGGTTTCTGTAGTAACTAAGTTTAACAGGGTGAAGTTGCTAGCTCCACACCCAGTCATATTTGAATTCAGAGTTTTCCTTCTCCTAAATTGGTTGCCAACCAAAGATAGACAGCCCAGACTACCTTGCTATTTAATCACGAGCTGGAGAAAGAAGAGACCAATTCGTACTTTTCTCAAGAGGATTTATGCAAATTCGACGTGCAAATCTTAATTAGTACTTTTCTCAAGAGGATTTATGCAAATTCGACATGCAAATCTTAATTGGTACTTTTCTCAAGAGGATTTATGCAAATTCGACATGCAAATCTTAATTGGTACTTTTCTCAAGAGGATTTATGCAAATTCGACATGCAAATCTTAATTGGTACTTTTCTCAAGAGGATTTATGCAAATTCGACATGCAAATCTTAATTGGTACTTTTCTCAAGAGGATTTATGCAAATTCGACATGCAAATCTTAATTGGTACTTTTCTCAAGAGGATTTATGCAAATTCGACATGCAAATCTTAATTGGTACTTTTCTCAAGAGGATTTATGCAAATTCGACATGCAAATCTTAATTAGTACTTTTCTCAAGAGGATTTATGCAAATTCGACATGCAAATCTTAATTAGTACTTTTCTCAAGAGGATTTATGCAAATTCGACATGCAAATCTTAATTTCCATGCTGAAACAGCATCTATATTCGGTGATATAAAAGTAAAAAATTACTCGATGACAAAATTATATTGGGTGAACTGAGACTCTCATGAACATATTCTAGAGAGTAATTTTACTTTTAAACATATCACCCATGTAAGGCACAAGGGGATTACTAAGTGCGAAAGAAAAAAAGAAAAAAAAAAGAGAAACATTATTAAAGAGCGAGAACAATAGAAGAGTAATCAGGAAGACAGTAGATAACAATTTGACACTGTATTTAAATTTCTGAAGACCAAAATTAGCTGGAAAGCATGGAACCGAAAAAGAATTCCACAAGCGATAAGTGCGAGAAAAGAAGTTTTTAGTATATAACATATCTATACGCATGCAGGCAGTTTGCTGTCAGTATAGCTTTTTGATTATTCTGTTATCTTTCCCAAAATATGTAAAGGTTGCTTGGCAGTTCTAACAGATCTTTGTGGCATACTTTATTGAAAGAATCCAAGAATAAACAATATTAAGGAGAGAGAACAATAGAAGAAACGGAATCAATACGACAGAACATGACAATTGAGATTATATTTAAATTTTTGACGATCAATGTTGATTGGCGAGGAAGAGACCAACTTTCCTAGCAGCAGACCTAGCAATGGATTCGATATAATCTTTCCACTTCATATCAGCAGAGAATGTTAGCCCAAGAGGGCGCAACGAGCCACTCTCATGGAGATTAGCATCAGCCATGCTGATCGGAGTTAGGAAGAGTATTTCTTGTGATTCACAGAGAGAAGTTTCGTTTTGGGGGCGTTAAAATCAACAAGCCATTTCTTGCCCCAGTTAACAACAGACTGTAGGTCATTTTTAAGACCAACTGCCAATTTGACCTTATCGAACTGCTCAAACTTACTATCGAGACAGAGTGAAATGGTTGTGTCATCTGAATAGGCATAAAGTTGAGTAGTGATGACATCAGGATGATTTTAAATTCTTTATGCGCATAAAATCAAAATTATTAAAAAGTATACTTAAACTCAAATCCTATCTAACTTGATGTGTGAAATTGTGAATGAATTTTTCCCTTAGTAATCTCTCATTATGGTCCTGTCTCCGAGGTTTTGAGATGTTGCCGATGTACAAAATTTATGTGAATTATTTAAAACAGTAATTCTCAAATGGGAGTCGCATCGCTTCCGGAAGAGAATTTCAAATATTATAGGAGGAATTATGTTATAGTATGAAAAGAAATTTTAGTTAAATGTATACATGACAAAAATTAGATAATGACAATATAACTTGGGGAGGAATTTTGGATAGATGGCATCACAGGTGAAGGAGTATAACTTGGAGAAACAATGCCGTAATAAGGAGACAAACGTCTGCGTTCGTATTGACGCAGTATTCGAAACTAATACGAGTCTCTTCAAGAATTATCATCTGGTCTATCGATACGTCATTTAATTTGAACAAACAGCTTTTACCACTGCCTGTCTGTCTTTAACTTTTTGATTGCGTATTTTAATATGAATAGTTAAACAGTATTTACATTAGTCGGACTATTGTCCTCATCTTTGTCGCCATATTTGTCACAACGTTTCGGCCGTTGGTAGGAATTTCGAACTGAATCCTTTATTTCGATCACTGGGGTAGACTGTTCTAGTTCCACGTGCCATGTTTGATGGATGTCAGTTATCAGTTATCTCCTGCTAATTTTCCCTCTGAAAGTTCTCCACTGCCTTAACCAGGAATTGAACTCACCTTCTTTGGGTCTGTCTAACCAACGCCTTTATCCACTGTGCCATGTGTCCTTGAGGACATCTGGGTATGAACTTCTGAGTATTATAAACCTAATGTTTTCAGCATGAAGAAGGCCGGAGCGTATAACGGCCGAAACGTTGTGAC